CCCCCACCCCCACACACACACCCACAGGTTCCCCGTTCAAAGTGGACGTGCGTGAACCAGCCAAGCCCCACAAAGTGACAGCCTCGGGCAACCCGACCAACGCCATCATGGGCAAAGACCTGGAGATGAAGATTGACCCCAGACATGCTGGCCCAGGTGAGAACAGCATAGACAACTACATTGTTTGCACGTATCCGACTCTTACAGAAGGAAATGAAAGGAGAGAACGAAAAAAAAAGACTTAGAATAAAAACAAAGGGGGCAAAATCCAAAATGATATAAAGACAAAAAATGAAATAAAAAGAAAAGGAGAAGAAGGAGGGAAAATTGGATTTGTTATAAATGTTTTATGGTCCATGTAGACCACCACCACCACCACAAGCATCATCATCATCATCATCATCATCATCATCATCATCATCATCATCATCATCATCATCATCATCATCATCAGTGTGTGTGTGTGTGTGTGTGTGTGTGTGTGTGTGTGTGTACACGTGGTGGAACACCAAACCAATGTGCCAGGATCTGGACAAAAAAGATGTATATTATCTTATCTTATCTTATCTTATCTCCTTTTGAGGATTTCGAGAAGTAACTGATTTTGTCAGCACATCTCACATATAGTTTGTGGGGTCGAAATTTTAATGTACTGTTCCCTTCTCTGTCCATGCAGGTGGTGCTGTCTGGCAAAGGCCTGAGAGAGGCAGAAGTGGACAAACCAGCCAACTTCTACGTGGACGGGACAAAGGCAAACCCTGGTAAGTGGGGGGGGGGGGGGGGGCTCTCGTGGCCTAGAGGTTAAGGTGTTGGCCTCTCATTCAAAGGTCCCGGGTTCGAATCCGGGTAGTGACCGAAAAAACTGAACTAAAACACGCAACTAAATTCTGTTTCCTTTTTTTTTTCTTTTTTTGTTGTTGTTGCATTAAAGCTATTTATTGTAGATCAATAATTGACTCAAACCCACACACACATAATATAAGGCTGCCATCAGCAATGCCTTGCCTCGGAAATGAAGGGTGGCATTTAAATAGAAAGAAGTAAGTGGACATACACCACAGAAGTGAAACAACACTCTCCTCTTCACTCTCTTTGTATCTTTTCCTCACTTTACCCAATTGGAAATATGTACCCGGTTATAGACAGTGGAAGATCTTGTCAGCTTGTTGTTAGTGTTTGAGGGTGGGAAATCCGCAACTTGCACTGAATACCTCCCAGGAACCCAAGAACGTTTCTGGGTGGTCTAAGGTCTGCCGGAGGTAATTGGTCGCTTTTAAGCACAAGGGGCTATCCTGAAAAATGCTGTTTTGAGAAAATCGAAGGAAATGAAGGAAAAGTTTTTGACCCCTGCTCAGTTTCTTTAAAAGACAAGGAGAGTTTTGACTATAACCCAACAAATATACACACCAGTGAAACCAAACTTCTCCTATAGGTAGGGTAATGCCCACTTTTGGTGTTGGTGAAGATTTCTGGAAACCCCCGAAGTCTGGGTTAGCCCGCTTGTCCTTTAGCGACCAAATAGGGTTGTAAAGCGCCTGAGCATGTAGAGTGTGGACATGAGTTATATAAATGAAATTATTATTATTATTATTATTATTATTA